ACACACACACACACACACACACAGGTGCACGAGGGCGTCGAGGCTCCCTGTAGCAGCATCCAGCAGAACCAAACATTAACGACGCTTTATAATAATTATATTAATAATAGTGATGATGACATCGTAAAGCAAACATGGAGGCGGGGTTAAGATACTCTGGACAGGAAGCCAATGAATACACAAAGAAAATAAAACAAACAGCCAATCAGAGGCCTTCCAAGCTGGAGATACAAAAGAAAGAAAGAAAAAATTAAAAACCATAAACAAAGAGGAAACATGGTTTCCCATCAAGCCCGGCGGTGGCAGCAGGTTTCAGGATTGTCCTGTGATTGGTCGATTCCAGAGACAGCAGAGCAAAGATCAATCGGGCTGATGTCATGCGTCTCGGGCCAATCACCTCTCGGGTTTTTGTCATCGATATCATCGCGGCGACTCGTATCGACCGCTCCCTTCAAAATAAAAAAGTCTTAAAGTCACGGAGCACGCAGACGCTCCACTCGTCATCTCCCACCATGCCTTGCTCTGAGTGGGCGGGGTTTCGGGCAGCGCCGCGAGCTCCCAGCTGCTCCCGACAGTAAACGTGTCGTCATTCAGGACCGACTCAAGCTGCGTTCAGGTCGGTGCGGGAAGCCGGCAATCTGTGGAAGACAACTGTTGCTCTGTTGGACAACGGTGGCCAGAGCTCCCAGCTTCCCGACGCGCCCTGAAGGCAGCGGCGTTTTCCCGTCCCTCTGCACGTGGACGTGAGTAGCGTCAGATCCTTACAGCAGGAATTCAACATCACACAAACATGTCGTAGTGTCTCGTTCTACTTCAAAGCTTATTGAGTCTCAGGTGTCTCTTCCCTCACTACATTTCCCACAAGTCCTTCCTTCAGCCTACATAAACCACAATCCACCATGATTCCTACGTCTCCCATAAACAAGTCTCCCACATCACTTCCCACATTTCCCACGATTGCTGGAGACAGTGAACTCACCATCAGCATGTTTCTTTAAAAATAAAAGCATCAAATATACACACAGCTCTTTAAGAAAGTGACATGCGAGTCGCTCAAACATCACAACCTCCTCCTCCTCCTCTCATTTCCGTCGCCACAGCGACCTTCTTTGGTTTGTCAGCGGTGCAGTGTTCAAGTCACACGGGACAGTCGGTAACTACGACCTCCATGCTTCCAGAGAAACACAGTAAATCAATAAACTTCCCGCACAACATCTGCTGCAGGAGAAAATCAGTATTTCATTTAAAGATTATTAGCATGTTTGTGTAAATAACAGTTATTCTGGAGGCCACTGTGATCTGACGTGAGCTTCATGGACCAGTAGAGCCCGACTGATACTGGATGTCTGGAGCAGATATTCCTCCTCCTCAGCCGATAGATCGGTCAGGCTCTTCTTAACGTAATAACTAAACAACAAATCACAGGCAGATGATTTTGGTGATTTTGGTTT